AACTCAAAATTAAGTGTGTAGTCAACTTCAGTAGCTTTGGGTTACAGTGCTCAAGATCTCTGTACTATATTTACCCTAACTCCCATAAAGTTTTAAGCTGGATATTAATGAGTTAAAATCATTAAGCTAAGGTGCTTTAGAGACACCATGGACCATTTCAGTGCATTTGAGACCTCACATTCTCCAAATAGGTGGCAGTGGATTTTTGTCTCTTTAGTGATGGGCAGAAATGAGAGGGGAGACATACAGGGGACTCCCCAGTGGTTCCCTTGTGGGGCTTAGAGAAGGAGGCCTTTGAATCTCCACAGTGAGAATTGCTGGGCCAGGTCCTCCTTTCTGCCTTCACTTTGAGAATGCTCACTGCCCTGCTCAGATCCAGTTAGCCGTCTTCCTTCTGATTCAGTTCTTCGGGACACTTGGTCTTTGGTCTCCAAGATCAGGAGTCACTAAACCTCCAGCTGTTTGAAGATAATCAGACCTAATGAGGTAAGGAAGCAATAGGGAAGGTAGAGGGGGGAGGCCTTCTTGTTTAGGATCCAGTGAAGAGGAGAGTTATCTAGGGAGTGAGTGCTGCTGAACAGTCAAGAGGAGAAAAGCAAGAATCTGTACCAACCTCCAAAAGTAGCAAAAAGGGCCACAAAGATAGATTTCAGTAGGAAGAAAACCTGCCTAGAACTTAAAAAATAATTAAAAGCTCAATGGATAAAGAGAAGATATATTTCTTGTAGTAGACAGAATAATGGTCCCCAAAGATGTCTAGTCCAAATCCTAGAGCCTATGGACATGTGACTTTACTTTGCAGTTATGATTAGTTAGTGGGCTCAGTGCAAGACTGAGGGAGAGGAGGGTCAGAGCATGGATGCACAATGGAATAAGTAGGAGTGTCTTGAGGAAGGATGATAGCCAGGGAGTGTAGTGGCCTCCAGAGCTGGAAAAAGAGAAGGGAAGGATTCGCCCCTAGAGTGTCCCAAGGGAACAGAGTCCTGCTGGTATCGCGATAGTAGCACTTCAGACTTCAAGAATTGTAAGACAGGAAATTAATGCTATTTGGGGCCTTAAACTTTATGATACTTTGTTCTGGCACAAATAGAAAACTAATATAGTTCTGAAAAATTAATCACCTGGTAAATTCTAACAGGGAAACTCTTGTGTACCACAGACCAGAGTCTAAGGAGAAGGGAATCACTAATGAGATAATAAACATGGACTAAGTAGAAAAAGATAAGTAAATAATAGAAGAAAATTTCATTGAGCTGAAGACTTGAATGCAAATTTACAGTCCAGAGAGTCCTAGATGAGGCTATGACAAGGGTATCTGTCTGCCTGTCCGTCTATTGATTGATTGATTGACTGACTGCTACTGGGGCTGGAACTCGGGGCTGTGCACATACTATGCAAATGCTCTACATTCTCAGCCCTAAAAAGGAAATTTAAAAGATTGGGATTTGTCCTGTAAGAATTCTGACTTTCAAAAACAATGTGATTTAGCATTAACTTTTCATAGAAAAATTACTTAAGTAGGAAAGAGAGATCAGCTTCAAACTTCCCTAAGGATCACTAGTCAGTGTGTGTCATTGTGTTGGGGGGAATAAGGACTGCTGCTAAGAACACACATATTCTCCTAAGATGCTGACGATTTATTATGGCAAAAAGGCAGTGTTCATTTTTTTTTTTCATTTCACACCTACATATTGAGAATCAAATTCATGCCAGATACTAGTCTAATGCCATACTGAAGGAAAGATATAGTGTTAGTTTTGAGGAAAATATTTTAAACTAATTTCAGGAAGATTAGGAATTGGAGGAATGTGTGTGAAGCAGTGAGAAATGGTTGTGAGTTTCACCTTGGCACAGTCACTCAGGGTTGTGTTATACTATAATGATGGAAAGATAATGTCTCAGCAGGAGGACTTACGAATGGAAACATAACCACTGGAGTGCCTACTTAGCCAGGGGGAAAGAATAAACAGAAATTCTTGTAGCTTTGGAAAGAAGGGAAATTAAAAATAAAGAGCTATAAGAAGCAGGATTCACACATTTTCTGAGAGGAGAAAGGACCTGGTCTTCACATTAATCCAGTTGTGGGAGGTCAGTTTAGTCCCTTGATGTCACTGTTGAGCTGCTGGAAAACCCACATAGAAGCTTGCTCTGCATCCAGACTTCCAATTACATGAGATTATTTCCTTCGGTTTAGTGGAAAGCATCCTAATTAATACACCTCACTCTGCAGATGAGCATCGAGGTTCAGAGACACATAATCCTAAGAGGACGGAAAATTCAAAGGAGAAAAATCCCAAGAAAATGTTGGAGTTTAGCTGACAAAAAAATTTTGGTAGTAGCCAATTTAATGATCCACTGCGGCTGATTCCTAAGTTATCTGAGCTTGATTTATACTTTAAAGTGGCACTCTCAGATGTGGAGCGAGCTAAGACAGGGACAGTTGGAAATGCCCTTACTCTCCAGCCTTGCTTCCATCCAAGGTTCCAGGCGCCCGTCTTGCCCATCTCAACAGAAGAGTCAAGATTATTTTCTGGGTGTCTGACTTTGGGTTGGGTGACCGAAGAAAGCCTCCCATGTGAACAAGCAGAAAAGAGCATGTGAAAGTGGGGTGCATGGGAGAAGTCCTTCTGTGAGAAAGGCCAAGGCTTCATAGCCTGGCACACCTAATTAGAAGGAAAGGACTCTTAGAATTTAGAAATAAGAAAATAGGTCAGAATGACCGAAGGAGGGGGGGGGGGGAGTAGGAGCAAAGAGTTATGCTAGAGACGCCCTTCAGGAGATCTAACATCTGGCTAATCAGAAATTCCTACTAGGGATAAGAGAGAAAATATGATGGATAAAAAGTAACAGGGTCAGGAAAAGTGCTCTGATCTGCTGTATGAATTTTGGGATTGAAAGTGCTCACCTTGGGCCAACTCAACACATAGACATGGACTCACAACAAGACCACTGGGGCAGAGACCCTGCACAGGTTCCAGTGGCACTGACAGGCAGACTTCCTGGAACAGGAATAAGCGTTGCTACACACTTCTCAGAAGCCATACAGGAAACTGTAGGTGGTGGGGCAGTGATAAGATCCGAATAGGAAATGTCCTCAACAACAGGTCCATGTGCTGGGGGCTTGCTTTCTAGCTGGAAGTGCTATTTTGGGAGAGTTTGGAAACATTAGAAGGTGGATCCTTGCTACAGGAAGTAAGTCCCTGCCTGCTCCCCTTGAAGCTCTCCTGTCTGGCCCCTTTCTTTTTGCCTCCAGACCACCATGAGGTGTGAAGGACCTGCAGAACACCTCTTGAGGTGGAGTTAGGAGGGAGCAGGCATCCTAACAAGTCCATGCAAGTGCTTGACATTGAGCTGTGTGCATGCTCTATTTTGATAAAGAGAAAATTGAAGCATCACTGAACATTAGGACAAACAGTATGGAAAGCAAAAGATTTTATACTAAACTCTTAAGTGCAGGCACAGTATTTACTGAATGTAAATAGATGAATTTGACTATAAGAGAAGAGAACCAATCAGGGTAGGCTACTGAACACAGCATTTACTCCAGGTCCTGCTTGTCCTTTCTCTGGAAAAGCCAAAACTTTGCAGTTTTCCTTTTCCTCCGACCTGGGGAGCTGCCAGCCAGAGTCCTCACCTTCCTAGCTGAGGAAGGAAGCACTCCCGAGCTCTCATTCTGGAGTCTGTTGACACCAAGACTGAGGTGACGGGTGACAGGACTTAAGACCCTGGAACCCAGCTACCTGGCTTCTCTGCTTTTTTAACTGTGAGGTTCCTGTTGGTCTAGCCCATGAATTGCTTTTCTATCTTAACTAGGGAATCAATTTCATTTGCTTGTCACCAATGAACTCAATTGATAGAGGCTAAACCTCATGTTCGCTCATGCATGCATAAACAAGCAAGATACGTAAAATGAAAAAGGAAGCAGAACTTAAAGTTCAGAAGACAGAATTGAAGTTGTAGAAGATTAAAGACAGGAGGCCATTATGAATTGATAACATAGATCATAGGAAAAATGTAACAATCTTAGTGGTATACCAAGGAAGACCTTCATCAGGGAATACATCTTCATGATGAAAAGAAAGCAGCCTCTTAAAATGGAAGAAACATTTTCCCCTGTCTCTTTGGCAAAAATTCAGTAGTTATCATGTCCAATGCTAAGATGATATGATATTGGAAAATAGATGCTTTCTTTTTTTTTTGGTCTTTTCTACCTGTAGCCCCAGATGGCCTGGAATTCACTATGTATACCAGGCTGGCCTTGAACTCACAGAGATCCACCCACCTTTGCCTCCTAAGTGCTGGGACAACAGGCGTGCACCACCACGCCTGGTGGAAAATAAATGCTTTCAAAAGCTACTTATGGAAATAAAACATTACAAAAATTTGAATTATTATAGCACATAAAACATTTGGGGCATTATAACCTTAAATATCTCTTGAAACTGTAAATGCTCATACATTTGACTTAATTTTGAGAATCTGTGTCACAGAAACAATAGAAATGAGCTGGATCTGCACATGTTAATGATGTTGCAACATTGCTTAGAGGCAAAATTTGAGGGAAATATTCAAATGGAATAATGCTGAGAAGTTGTAGTACATACAGATTGGAGTGTACACTCTGCTGTTTCAGACAGCAGATACACATTTGTGTAAAATGCAGGAGAAAAGCCTCATGTGTGACAGAAACTAAGTGTAAGTATGAGGAAGGGTAGGAAGGGAGGTGGGCTGAGAAGGAGGTCTTGACTCTGGGTTTACTTACTATACTAAGCATCTGACACACGTGTACTTAAGAAAAATAGAAACTAGATCAAGGAAGGAGAGAGATTTTCCTACGAAATGTGGTTTTGCGTCAGGAAGAGCTTGAATGCTGTAAGCAGTGGGATTTTCTGTGGCTCACAAAACATCTGTTCTTATTCACAGCTCTGGCGTGTGTACCAAGGTGTTCTGCAGTGTGAAGGACTCTGCTGTACCACTTATGCTTGTCTCTGCTTTGACAGGGCTGGGGCTGTCTCCATCAGGGGAGTGCAACATCATGGAACTGGAACAAGAACTTGAAAATGTGAAGAGTCTTAAGACAAAATTAGGTACTGTGCTTTTTTTCTTTGCTGGTCTTGGTTAGTTATTAAAGAATGTAGTACAATCTAAAATATTAGCTAATTTGTAAAAGCTTAGTTTATGTTAGAAACTTTCTCTGTGTTCGAAGTCATTGAATAGTTGTCTTTTGGGGAGAGGGTAAATAGATATTCATTATTTTTTGTTTGCTATAAAGTTACTTTTCAAAGATGTTATTTTCCTGTCTCTTTACTTGAATTGATTTTTCCTTTGAATTTATTTCTTACATTTTAATGTATTTGTGTGTGTGTATGTGTGTGTGTGTGTGTGTGTGTGTGTGTGATTGCATGCTTGTGGAGGTCAGAGGATGACTTGTAGGAGTGGTTCTCTCCTTCTGTCATGTGAGCCATGGAGATAAAACTCAGGTCTTCAGGCTTGGCAGCAGGTACCCTTACCCGCTAAGCCCCTTGCATCATTTTTGACATATAATCTGTAAATAAACTTCTCTTTCAGTGTGATTTTTTAAATGTGCTTTTATAGTTTCCCTTTTACCTTTGATTTGTGTAAATTGGCTCTAATGTGCTTTAATGTGGCCTCCTTCACATGTCTTGGACTTTGGTTCATTGAGTTTCTTGGATGTATGAATTTATAATTATTTTTGAGGCTGGTGTGCTTTTACTCCATTTCTCTGTGTTTGGTTTGGAAGGTCCCTGTTGCTCTCTTTTACTGGTCTCAACCTTTCTTCTGAAGGTCTGATCTGTCTCTCACCCCAACTACTGTATTTCTGTCCTGGATACTGTAGTTTTCAGTTTTGCCTGGGCCTGGTCTGTTATCTTTGTGCTGCCGATAACATGGTTCAATCTGTTTCTTCTGCTTCTGTGAAAATGAGAAACACAGTTATGAGAGCACTGTGTGTGCGTGTGTGCGTGTGTGCGTGTGTTTGTGCATGCCAGAGGCTGATGCCAGGTGTCTTTCTTGATTCCTCTCAACCTTGTTTTTGAGATAGGGTTGTTTTTTTTGTTTTGTTTTGTTTTTGTCTTTTTGAGACAGAATCTCCCTGTAGCCCCAGCTGTCCTGGAACTCACTATGTAGACCAGGCTGGCCTTGAACTCACAGAGATCTGCCTGCCTCTGCCTCCCGAGTGCTGGGACTACAGGTGTGCGCCACCATGCCCGGCGAGACAGGGCATTTTTTTTTTTTTTCATTGAGCCTAGAACTCATGAATTCAGACTGCCTGGCCAGCAAACCCAGAGGTCATCCTCTTTCTACCTCCCCAGCACTGGGATTGCAAGCATGTACCGTCACACCAGGCTTTCTCCTGTGGATTCTGGCAATCAAACTTAGGTTTTCGTGCTATGCAGCTAGCACTTTACAAACTGAACTATCTCCATAGCTCTTTTGAGAGAACTTTTAATATTTCTGCCTGCTAATTCACACACCTTTGTCCGCTCTTGATAAGCTTCAAATGATTGGTTCTCTTCCTTATTATGGTTTTCTTTTGACCTTCTTTGCGTGCTTGGCAGTTTTGGATGGGAAAGTAGGATGTTTTGGGGCACTGATGTTTTTAAAATCTTATGTGGAAGAAACTTTGTTTTGGGTTGCAGGTAACTAAGTTGGAAAATGCTTGATATCATTGTGTCTGACTCCGAAACTTTGTTAGGCTAGACTAGCACAGTGCTGCCTCCAGGCTCTTGTCCCACTACTAGGGCAGCTCTGCTCCTGGCCCTTGTGACTGCCAAGCACCCTTCCTTCATGTCCAAGTTCAGCCATGGGCTGTTTCATGTCTGAGCTGAATATATGAGCTTTCACATTCCCTCATATTCACATTCACGTTCACATTCATATTCCCTCAAGGCCATCATACTTCCATGACCAGAAGTCTGTATCTTCAACATTGGCGTGTATGTGTGTGTGTGTGTGTGTGTGTGTGTGTATTTCCTTCCCTCCCTCCCTTTTACGCTCTCCCTCCCTTCCTCCCTCCCTTCCCTCCTTTTCTTCCTTTGTGAAAGTCATATATGTCTGTTCATTTTAATCTTTGTAAATAATATGACATTGCCTAAAGTGATTGCTTCCATGGGGCTGTTGATAGAGTTTTAGACGTTTACAATCTCTTGTTCTTGGGGGGTAGTGCTGCTGTGGCATTCCTGTCTCTCGTAGTGTATGTTGTCCATCACGTGGAAGTAGATTTCAGGATCACTGTGTACGCATGCTGCTCTTTCCCCAGGTTCCTGTTTTCCCACTTTCCAGCCTGGCATGATCAGATTCGTTGTCACTCCACAGCCTTGCTAACACATGACAGTGTTAGAGTTTTACAGTTTTACAGTTTAGTGCATGTGAAATGGCCTTTCACCAGTGTTCTCATTCCTGTGTTCCTGACTAGTGTCTCTGCTATTCCATGTCCAGTGCTGACTGAGGCTTTGCTTGGAAAGCCTCCACAGCTATTTCTCTGTGTAGGTAGTGCAGTAGATTTTTTTCAGTTTTTGCTTTTCTGAAAGTATATTTACTTTGACCTCTAGTTTGTAGGCTGAGTGTGTGTGCACATGTGTGCATGTCCATGTACATATAGAAGCCAGAAGTCAGCCTCGAGTGTCATTCCTCAGGGGCCATACACTGTTTTTGAGATAAGATTGCTCAGTGGCTTGGAACTCGCTGACTAGGCTGTCTAGCCATCAGACCCAGGGATTCACCTGTCTCTGCCTCTTCAGTGCTAGAATTACACATGTCAGCCACCACTCCTGGCTTTTTGCATGGATGCTGGGGATGGAACTGTACCAACTCAACCATCTTCATTGCCCCTGCAGGGCCTCTTTCTTTTTTCTTTCTTTCTTTCTTTCTTTCTTTCTTTCTTTCTTTCTTTCTTTCTTTCTTTCTTCTTTTCTTTTCTTTCTTTTCTTTCTTTTCTTTTCTTTCTTTCTTTCTTTCTTTCTTTCTTTCTTTCTTTCTTTCTTTCTTTTTAAAAAAAACAGAATAGAGAAGTCCTATTTGGTATTTTTTAGTACTATAATGATGTCATTTCATGGACGTCTGGGTTTTGGATGCATATTGTCTGTGTCTAGCAGTTCTACTGTGCTGAGTAGGCTTTGTTTTCTTTTTTTCATGTGTTTTTGGATCATTAACTGTCTTGGGAATCTGTACGACTTTATGGCTGTGGCTCAATGACTTCATCATCTTATCAAATACTGCATCTGCCCCATTTCCCTTTATTTCTTCAGACTCCACTTAAGCATACATTGGGCCTTCCCATTCTCTTTTGTTTCTTTTCCAGAGTTCCTCCTTTTTATTTCCATGCTGTGGCCCTTCATGTTTTCTTTTGGTCTGTCCTCTACTTCACTGTCTCCCAGCTGTGTCCTAAGGGTCAACTAAACTATCTGTTGAATTCTTCATTTTAGTGGCAGTATTTTTCAGCTCTCGAATTTTCAGTTGGTTATTTTTGTAAGTTCAGATTTCCTTCTGAATTGCTGTTTTGTTGCTCATTATGTTGACTTCTCAGTTGAAGCCTCTTTCTGATGCCTTTGTATGGACCAGCTGAGCTCTATTTTTGTTGTCTGTCTGCTTCTTGGTGGTATTTGACTGATTGCTAGACATTTCTTACATAATTGTGGAAACTGGAGGCTAGGCTGTTAGAATAGGCACATATTGGGGATGGAGAGATCGCTCAGTGGTTAAAAGCACTGGTTGATCTTGAGGAAAACCCAAGTTTGGTGCTCAGATCCCATATGATGGCTAATCATCAATAATTTTAGCCCTTGGGGATCTGTCACCATCTTTTGCCCACTGAGGGCATTGCATACAGGTGCACTTACATACATGTAGGCAAAACATTCAAACACATAAAAAATCCAAAAAAAGAAAAAATGGGCACACATTAATGTAGACCATTTGGCTGACCTCTGACCCTAGGGTGTAGCTTTCCAGTGGTCCTAGTTGGTAGCCTGGCTGTGTTGACAGTGCGTCTTGGGGAACTAGGTTGGGTCTGACAGCTGTGGGGCTCTGGACTCCTTAGCTCTGTCTTTCCTCTTCCTCACAGCTTTCCACTAGTGGGACCTTGAAGGGAAGGTCTACATGGCAGGCTCCCTTCTCTGCCTGTTCCTTCTCCCTGGGGTTCTATCCTCTCAAATTGTGACTGCTGTGATAGCCCCAAGCTCCATGGTTCATCTCTCTTGCTCTGCTGTGTTTCCTAAGGGTTTTGCTATAGTATTGCTGCCTTGGCCTTTAAAAATTTTTTAAGTTTATGTGTACCTGCTTGCCTGTATGTGTGCCACATGTGAGTAGATGCTGACAGAGAGTAGATGCCAGGAGTGGGTGTTGGAACCCCTGAAACTGGAATTAAAGATGGTTGTGAGCTGGCCTGTGCGGGTGCTGGGAACAGAACCTGGGTCCTCTGGAAGAGCAGCATGTGCTCTTAACTGCTGAGTCATCTTTTCAGCTCCCAGGCTTTGCCTCTTGATTTCTACTTGATTTTGCCAACCCCTGAGTCCACACTAACCATATATTGGAACATGCCATACCTACAGGAAGTTCACCTCTATCACTTCAAAGAAAGCCAGCCTCTTGCTTGCCTTGTCTTCTTGCTCTCTAACAGATCTAAGTTTAATTAATTAACCTAGTCAATTAAATTTGATTTCTCATCTTGGATGTTCTTAGCGTGAGGGTGGGTTTGGTATAGGGTGGGCTACTATAGCTAGAGTGGAAGTTTGCTTTGGGCCCTTGGAAAACTGAAGGTGTCCATTCTTGGTACACAAGCATGGAGGAGGTTGTTTCTCATATTTCTCACTCACACACCTGTCCACATCAGTATGTACAAGTGTATTATCAAAGCAAGCTATTTATTAGCAGCCTGTTTCCTTAACAAAACTGTCTTTACCAAAGTTAGACTTAAGCTTGATAGGATTGATCAATTTAGCATAATAAACTGATTTTAAATGGATTTTTTGGGGTCTTTTTGAGACCTGCTACCTGCTGCCTGCTATGTAGACCACGCTGGCCTTGAACTCACAAAGATCTGCCTGCCTCTGCCTCCCGAGTGCTGGCGTTAAATGGATTCTTATAATTTTAGAGGAAAATTAAAATAATTTCTATTAAAACGTGTTTTTCAGGGCCGGGCATGGTGGCACATGCCTTTAATCCCACCACTCGGGAGGCAAAGGCAGGCGGATCTCTGTGAATTCAAGGCCAGCTTGGTCTACATTGAATTCCAGGACAGCTGGGGCTACAGAGAGACCCTGTCTCAAAAAGACCAAAAAAACCAACCAAACAAAAAAAAAAAAAACAACCCCCCCCAAAAACTGTGTTTTTCAAAAGTAAAAATAACACATATTAGTTGTAATATAATGGAATGTGATGAAAATATGACTCAAGAGAGAATTTTTGAAAATTGCTGAAATTTTTGTTTTATTTTGTTTTTCTTCGAATAGAGAGGCGAAAAAAGGCTTCAGCGTGGGAAAGAAACTTGGTATATCCTGCTGTTATGGTCCTGCTTCTTATTGAGACGGTAAGGCTCTGTTGGCCGACCTCACGTCTGTCGGCTTTTGTTTACCACAGCATGTCCCTCAGCCCAGCAGTTTCTAGTAAATTGGTTTTCTATCAGCAGAACCAAAATCCATCTGTAGCTTGATTTGTAAAAACGCAGGAGCAAAAATGAAAGCAAAGACAGTTAGAAAAGTCCTGAGGATGGTGTTTCCTCCTATAGCCCGAACCCAGGCTTTTGTTTTATAGAAAATCAAGAAAGCACACAATATGGCTGACGCTGCTCCAAACTCTGAAAAAGGCTATGGGAGTTCCCTCAGGAGAGTGTGGGAACAGCTGACCCCACATTAATTAAGTCTGTGGTGTCGTGGACTTCCAGTTGAGAAGACTACATAGTAAATTGATCTCTGTCGTGCTGTCATAAGCTTTGAGATGAGAATTTTCAGAACCTTCAGAACTTATCGTGGAGTTTCTGGTATGATGTACTGAGCTTGATCTTGGCTGCTGTCCTCCATTCTGAAGACGTGTGGTTACTTTTCCTTTCCTTCTTTGTATTGGCAAAAGCAGTCTTTGCAGCTGAGAACTGACAGCTCCCTCTCTGTTGCAGTCCATCTCAGTCCTCTTGGTGGCGTGCAACATTCTTTGCCTGCTGGTTGATGAGACAGCAATGCCAAAGGGAAGAAGGGTAAAGTTAAATGCTTTTCTAACATCTCTCTAGATGCATATCTGATGTTTCATGTACATTAATGTACACATTATCTTCCTGTGTGTAAATACTCGAAGCCCTGTGAGTTTCTCTGTATTAAGAGCTTTTATAAAGTGTTCATAAACTGACTTTTCGTGTGTGTGTGTGTGTGTGTGTGTGTGTGTGTATGTGTGTGCATGTGCATGAGAGAGACCCATATGACACACATATATGAATATATATAAACTTTGGTTTCCAGAGCCCATGTAAGTGCACCCATGTCATGTCATGCAGTGCCCCTAGAGGCTAGAAGAAGGTGTCAGATCCCCTGGAACTGGAGTTATAGATGGTTGTGAGCCACCATGTAGGTGCTGGGAATTGAACCCGCATCCTTGGTAAGAGCAGCCAGTGCTCTTAACTGCTGAGCCATCTCTCCAGCCCTGCCTTTTTTTTGTTGTTAAAGTATCAGGATTATTTATAGACTTCGTTGTCAGACTTGATCTTGATTTTACTGAACTTTGTATTGTGATTCTTTAAGAAAATGTGTGATCTAAAACAGTGATATATGAAGAGTACATCAGGTAGACCAACTGATAGTTACATACTGGAAAAGGTGGAAGGGACTGCTCTTCAAAAGTGTCATAGACGCAGTCTTCATAGTTAACTTTTACCTGATCTAAAGATGGTTGTGTTGAGTATGGTGGTACGTGCCTGTAATCCCAGCATCTGGGAGACTGAAGTAGGATGGTTGTGAGTTTCAGCCAGAAGTTGATTTTATCAGATGCTATCAATTAGCCTGTTAGAATATATTTTCCTAGGAAGGTATTTATCATTAAATATTCATAGTTGGCATGTTCTTCTTTGTCATTTTGCAATGCTCCTGCCTCAGCCTCCTGAGTGCTGGAATTACAGGTGTGTGCCACTGTATATCACTATGTTTGACTTGCCATATTTTTCTAGGTGTTGCTATATAGTTTTGGCTCCCCCCTCCGTGTGTGTGTGTGTGTGTGTGTGTGTGTGTGTGTATGTGATGAAACAGGGTCTTATGTAACCCAGCCTGGTCTCAAACTTCTAAGGCTGGCCTTGAACTTCTGATACTTCTGTTCCCATCTCCTCTGAGTGCTAGGGTCACAGGTGTGGGCCACCAGATATGGCAGGTTTTGAATAGATAAAGTGATATTTGATTGATAGTTTGACAGTTGATTGTGTTTCCCTGTCAGCAGCTTTTCTAGTTCCCATAGTGGTGACTGTAAATTTCTCCTGACTTACTATGCCACATCTCTCTCTGAGCCAGATGCTACCTTCCTCTCTGATAGAAAAAAGTCAGTACCTGTCTTAATTCCTTCCCTTTGATCTGAGATGAAGATACACTGCTTTTTCAAAATCCTATTTCTTCAGCCATTTTCTTGACTTCCCAGCCAATAGCCTGTCTAGGACCTTGTGCCATCTTTTGTCACTCTTGCCTCACTTAGCAGCTCTCACTCAAGTGATGGACACTCCTTCATCTGCAGCCTTGACTCTGTCTTTTGCTTATACTTAAATTTATAGATAGACCGGAAGGCTGTTCCTGTAACTTCTGTTGACTCTCACCCAACTTTAGCATAGCAGAACAGAGTCCATCCCAAGCCCTGTAGTACATTTTGTGTCATCCCCCTTTACTGTACAGTACAATGACTTGTAGCATCAAGCTTCCTGCATTCTTGTGTAAACAAATGAGCCCTTCTTAGTCCTGCTGTAGTGTCTCTTGAGATAGTGAATATTCCAGAATATTTTCCATCATAGCCAATACACCTTTGTAAGGTGTAGGAATGACGTTTACAATATAGACATAATTTAGACTAAAGACTTTCACCTAACCTTGCAGCTAAAAGTTATAATGTAAACAAGCTCACTGAGCCATGTGCTCCTCTTGTGACCTGGGCACCTGACCTGAATCCCTCAGGACTTCACCTTACCCTCCACCCAAGATAGTGGGTGTATGTGATTAACATATCAAAGTGCTAGAAGCAGTGTGCTTTTCTCATTGAAAACAGTGAGAGAGAATGAGTAGTCTGTTTATAATTGTGGGTGTGATATTCTAGGCCTAGGGATCAAAGCACATGATTCTCTGGTAAGGATGGAGCCTAGCTTCCACTTCTCTGCTTCATGCTGGAGATACTGTTTGAATAAAAGAAAGAGTGAGGCCTAGCTGAGAACCCAAGATATCTGAAGGAGCTCATGTTCTGAGAAGAGTCCATTCTTGGCCTTAAAACTACTGCTGAGTCAGGCTGTTTCTTCAGTAAGGCATAACTGCAATGTGGTTAGTGATGCTGCAGCAGGGAAAAAAGCAGCAGCTTTTCCTCACCCAGACGAGATTTATGGTGGAGCTCCTGACAGCAAAAGACAGAGTAGTAAGAGAGCAGTGGATGAATCTGTTTGATGTAAATTTATGTGACACAGCCACCTTCAGAAATGAAGACTCAGCTTCTGTTTGCTGAAGAGTAGATAGTGGTGGGTATGGCTGGATCATGAGGGTGTGGTACGCTGCTCCTGTATTGGGAGCACAGTGGATCATGTGCTCCACTGCTTCTGGTCCTGCCTTCACAGGGAGAAGGCCCCTTCCTCTGGGTTTACAGAGGGCACCACTCCAACAAGGGTCTCATGGCTATCTCAGAAGTTCGAGAGGTCAGAGAGGGACCTTGCTAGGCTTTCTTAAATCCCAGGGTGTCAGGCTGTAAGGGTGCATCCTGAGCCTGGTCACTTTCTGTTGGCTTTGTCCATGTCATCTTCAAATGAGTGACAGAAGTTAACAAGTTCCAGCTCTCACTCTTTTATGAGTTTCCATGGCTACTCTTACTCTTTAAGCACAAATTAGTATGTGTGCCTAAGGAGTGTGGCCTTCTATCTTGGTTTTTTATTAGGCTGACTATACACTTTGGTTTATCTCTGCTGTTGTAATTTATGATAACTAGGGGAATAGTAATTTTTATCCAGATAGTTCCTTTAATTTTTAGTAATAATCTTTGGAAATGCTATTTCTACTTGAGTGGGGAATGATGCTTGCCTCAGCTATTAGTGTATGAATAGCACTTTTTCTGTTTTATCTTTAAGTTCTTGGTAAAGGTAGGTCTTGAGATAGGTATAATATTTATGAAAATATTATATATTGCTTTTTACTTACAAAAATTTTAGATTTTATTTTAATTTTTTATTATGTGTATATGTGTGTGTGTCTGTGTGTTGGTATGTGTGCACATGAGTACAGGTGCCCTCAAAAGCCAAAATTCCCAGGAGCTGGAGCTACAGGTGGTTGTGAGCTGCCCAGCATGGTTGCCAGGTATTGAACTTGGTCCTCTGCAACAACAGTATGTGCTCTTAACCACTGAGCCATCTCTCTAGCCCTACTTTTAAAAAATTACTTTTAAAAGTTTTAAAGCTGGGCGTGGTGGCGCATGCCTGTAGTCCCAGCACTTGGGAGGCAGAGGCAGGCAGATCTCTGTGAGTTCAAGGCCAGCCTGGTCTACATAGTGAGTTCCAGGACAGCTGGGGCTACAGGGACACCCTGCTTCAAGAAGACAAAAAAAAAAAAAAAAAAGTTAAAAAAAAATGTGTTAGCAGTCACACCTTTTGTGCCTCTGCATGCCTGAGGAACATTTGGAGGAAGGGAGCTACACATGTATTACTTTCTTGATAATCATAGCTTAAATTTGTCAGACTTCTGTAAGCTGTGTGTTGCTTCATGACAATGGTCTATACTCTACTATTATAGACCACTATCTTAGTCTAGTAAATAAATCTCCCAAGAACATTCAAGATGTTTTTATAACAAATTATTCCATTTAACAACAGTAATCACTTTGACAGGTAACTTAAGCTCTATTTGAGGAAAGTCAGGGTTTTTTTTGTACTTGCTATAATTGTCAACATGGGAACTAGAGAGATGGCTCAGAGGTTAAGAACACTGGCTGCTTTTGTAGAGGACCTGGGTTCAATTCTCCTACATGGCAGCTAACAACCATCTATAACTCCAGTTCCAAGGGATCCAACACACTCTTCTGGCTTCTGCAGGCACTGCATGACATAGGTGCACTTACATACATGCAGGCAAAATACTCATACATGTAAAATAAAAATAGATAATTAAAAAATGTCAACATGGTGCTGAATTTTTAGATGAAGTCACTGTAATGCCACGAGCTACCGATCTTTGAATGATACACGTTATAAGGGTGTTAAGCATTCTTAATTTCAACTACCTTGGTTTTTAAAAATTTGTTTTAATTAAATTTTGTTGTATTTTATACAGAATATCTTAATCTGAACAGCTATCTTGTTTTTATGAAATAGCAATTTTGGAAAAACCCAGTATAGTGGTGTCACTGAGTTCTGAGAAATGTCTTTTCCCTGCAGGGGCTGGGGATAGGTAATGCCTCTCTCTCCACCTTCGGATTTGTGGGAGCTGCCCTTGAGATCATTCTGATTTTGTATCCTTTCTCTAACTGAATGTTCTGTCTGTTAACCAGTTCTCTGTGTAGTTTCTGGGACAGTGGTAATTTACTAAGACACTTGTCTAGAAGAAGAAACAAGTCAGCCTTCCTTAAGTGCTTTTTGTCTTGTTTTCCTGTGGGCCTTCCCGACTTTGGGAGTTGCCGAGAACTCTCCGGTGGAGCTTTCCTTGACTCTCACAGCTATCTCATGGTGTCTTCCGTGGTTGGTTTCTATAGCCTCAGACTTTTTGGAAATTTTACCCCTAAGAAGGATGACACAACCATGACAAAGGTAAGGCAAAGTCTTAGGTGAAGGTGGCCTCTCTTTCACCTTCTAAGACAAATGAGTATTTTCACTAGTAACAGCCCTGAATGACTCATCTGGGGTGATAGGTATTTGTAAGTTGCATAAACACAAAGGAAGATTTCAGAATGCTGAGTGAGTGGGAAAGGATGTGCTCTGTTTAATTTGGACAGCATCCATTCACTTGTGAATGCATAGAACTGCAGAGCTTGGTAAACTTGCTGTGGAAGTCTCCTGAAAGGACTCTTTTTTTTTTTTTCCTCTAAAGAAAACACATTGCTAATGAGTAACTTGGATTGTGCTAACTGTACTTCAGGGAGCTTGTTTGAAATTTGAAGAATTTAGTTGCTACAAGTAGTAGAGACAAAGTATTTCAAATCTGAATAATTAAAGTAAGACGGAAGAGCGCTATTCAGAAGCAGGGTGTAGTCTTAGGCTAATTTGACTTTCTACAACATGTCCTTGGCTCTAGAACGATGAAGGCTGTTAGCTTATATAGTAACCACATCTCTGTAAGATATTCCCACAGGCTGCCTAAGGATGGCTAATAGGAGCTGCCGGCCTGTCTTTATTAGCTTGTATTTATAGCCAACTTAAAGGGGAGAAATTATATATACACATAATAGTATTTATGTCTGCAGTGTATAATGCTACAGATTCTTTTTTTTTTCAATTTTATGTATATGAGTGCATTGCCTGAAAATATGTGAGTGCACCGTGTCGTGCAATGCCGTGGAGGTCAGAAGAGGGCTTTGGATTCCCCTGGAACTGGAGTTAAGGACAGTTTGTAGCCATCATGTGGGTGCTGGAAATTGAACCCGGGTCCTCTGCAAGAGCAGTCAGTGCTCTTAACTGCTGAACCATCTCTCCAGCCCCTACAGATTCTTTAAAGTCAATAAGCAGTTGAGGCTACCAATACCTAGTTTAGGTGGTTGTAAGTATTACTCAGTTTTGTGAAAGAATGAGTCTAGAATATATTAAAAATAAGTCACTAGTGTTTATATGTGTGGGTTTCTGGTGTTTAAAATGTTTAAGTCAAATTTTACAATGCTAGAAGTAGGTACTGTTTGGGGATGTGACAATATGTCAGCAGTAGGTACTGTATAGGAACGTGACAATATGTCAGCAGTAGGTACTGTATAGGAACGTGACAATATGTCAGCAGTAGGTACTGTATAGGAATGTGACAGCAGTCTGGCTTTAACATTTAGTCAGAATTTTAAAGGCATTAGTTTGCTTCACAGGTAAAACTTTTGAAATTAACAACTACATCAATAATATAAAATGCTTTTAATTGTTCTGTGACTTTATTTGCACTAATACTATATGTGTTTTGTGGAATTCATAGATATAACTTATGATTGTTAGCCTGAACCTTTAATGGCTGAACTGTCCCTCCAGCCCAACAGATACAACTGTAAATAGAAAGGCTTATTATTTTAAAATTCTACTTTAACTAGTCATTATCCCTAGGAAGTTGGCAAAGTACACTGGGTGTTTGCCCTACATAGTAACTTCCCAGAATGTTAGTAGGTTCTTTGCCATCCCACTGTTTAATTGCTTGCCATGCTTTCTGTCTCTCTTCACAGATCATTGGAAACTGTGTGTCAATCTTAGTCTTGAGTTCTGCTCTGCCTGTAATGTCCAGAACTCTAGGTAAGTTTAACTGAGAAGTGTTCATAGAAAATACCTATCTTTTAAAGATCCTTTGCTAAACCTCTTTAACTTTTACTTTGTAAATTCTTTCAAAACATCACCTTTAAAATATAATGCTTCTCACATTATTCTATTCCTTTAATTCTCTACTTCATTTGTGTATAGGATACCAAAACAAGTGCTTTTCTCAAACAAAGACCATTTATGTTTTTAAGCACTTAAAAAATTCCTTCCCCAGACAATAGGCTTTTTTTTTTTCCTTACCACATTCACAAGCTGGGCTTTTGAATTATCTAGTGAGGAAGCAATGACTTTTAAAAACATTTTAATGTGTGGAAAATATTAAACCAATTTTCATATATGAAATACTTTTTGAAACACATTTCATGTATACTTTAAAAAAGTAGAAATTTATAAACTCATTCTCAGCTGCTTTGTGTCTATGAAAATAGAGTTGAGCGTGATGCTGTGCAATCCTTGGGAGCACACACCAATTCAGAGGACACCTTTCAGTCCTTTGGTATCTGCTTGTCTGTCAGTCATAGCCTTTTCTTACCTCGTCAGTATATAGATGGTTTTGACTATCTTTTAAAGGTAAAATAGAGTTCTGCTTTGTCACTGAAATAATTGAGGAAGTTTTCATTTGGCCCTCCTTATAAAGTACGGTTTTTGACTGTATGTTCAGTTCTTGACTAAATATTATTTCAGACAAAAGCCCATGTTAGGCAGTTTTATCTAATTCTGTAGATTTATGTCTTAAATTTAGAAATTAATGATGAGAAAGTGATTATTAGAAATTAGAATGTGAACCCTAGCCCCTTGGTTAACAGCCGTCTTAGGCCTGGGGTTGCTGAGCTCAAATGCTGCCTCCGTTGTTGACTTAAGGCAATTGCCATGCCAGTGTCGCAGGCTGAGTCAGAACGTGGAGCATCGTAGTTTTCACTATTTTTACAGTCTTCCGTGTTTTAATAGAAAGCAAAATTGAAGTGTGAGTATAAAGAGGCCTCTGTTGCACAAGGCCGGTCCCAAACTCATTCATTTAGTGGTCACGTTTCTTTGTGCCTGATTTACAGGCCTTCTTAACTGTTTTGGCATCTGCTTACGGTATGCTAATCTTGAAAATGTTAAAAACAAGCACATTAGTACCATGATTTGAAGCTAAATGCTACATCTGCTTGGACAGCCCATCAGATGATAGCGATCAACCACCTTTCCGTTTTAAACATCTACAAAACTTCTTGTGCTTTGTTGTTTAAGGTTAATTGGTAGTCATTAATGTATTTTGATTTTTTATGGGAGAGAATTGCATGCTGAGTAGAATTTTAATACAAAGAAAATAAATTAATGGCAAAATTTGCTTTTTGAAGACTGACAAATTAAATTCCTGAGTAGTTTGCCATAGAGATAAATAAAAAGGGAAGCAAATGAAAGATGGAACAATTACAATGCAGCTGAGAAGCTCTTGGACCCAGCTGTCCAAACAGGATTAGCAGAGTGCTCTGGGTACAGTGAGTCACGGGGCGCTGGGCAAGACCCCTGCACGTACTGCAGTACATGTTATGCCCAGTGGCACTGAATAGATGAAAAGAAGTAAATACGTTAAACAGATTCATGGAGGCTTTCCACAGTATTAAAAAAGCAAATTTCTAGACTAAAAGATAAAGCCTGATCTTAGTATTATGGGAAATGCAAACTAGAGAGCTATTTTGTGATTCCTCTATTAGCCCTTTAGAGTTCAGTCTTTGATTTTAAGAAGGTAAAATACAGAAGAATTGTCATGAATATGATCCCAATGCATAGCAGGATTTTGATGTTGTAGCTGCAAAGCTTATAAGACTAGAAGAGAGGATGTATTAAAAGCCAAATTCCTAGCCATGAAAAGGTTCCCTCTCTCCTGGCCTCTCGTCAGGGGATCTGACCTCAATGTGGTCTCATTTGCTCCTGTGAGATCAGCCTGAAGCGTCTGTCACTAGGGGAAATAGGAAACACAGCAGAAGGAAACACGGAATTTAATATGCTGCTTTTCTCTATTTTCAGTGATTGTTTATTGGAGATGGCATTATTCCTTATAAACTGAAAATATGTTGAATCCAGAGTAAACTCTGGGCTTTGCCTGTTTCATGTTCCCCATCAGGTGGGAGTAGGTGACACTTTTGCAGATGCTCACCAGCGGCAGACTTGAAGTAGAAATGCAATTATCTATTACAAGTTGTGGTATTGACATGAAAACAATTTCAAAACCCTGAAAATTTCTTAGGAAAAAAATTTGCGTGACTTCCGTGTGCTCAGACACATTAAAGAGAATCAAATGAGTGGTTTCAATGAGCTTTTGTTTGCTTAGTAATGTTCATTTTCTATTTAAGCATTAAGTTTGTGGATCTAGTTAGGATTTCTAAGAATAAGGAATTCTTAAAAGTATTCTGTGTAGGGGCTGAAGAGATGGCTCAGTGGTTAAGAGCACTGACTGCTCTTGTGGAGGACCCGGATTCGATTCCCAGCATCCGCATGGTGGCTACGAACCATCCTTAACTCCAGTTCCAGGGGATCCAACAGCCTCTTCTGTCCTCTGAAGGCATTACTCAACATGGGTGCACTTACCTACATACAGGCAATACCCACATACACATAAAAATAATAAATAAAATTTAAAAATATTCTGTGTCACACGCCAGAGTTAGGAAAGCACCTGGTGAAGGGTTAGCAGCTTGTGTCTTTCTGTCCCTGCTGTGATTTCCCATGCTGCCCTTGGTTCAGGGAGGTGAAGACACCTGGGAACATGTCACCTTGGTCAGGGGAGTCAAAATGTAGCTTCTGTTGACATACAAATACCTAAACTTTAGTTTCTGGTTAAGATTATTTGGTTAGAAGGGCCCACTTTTAAAATGTGCAGCAAAGATGTTGTATCCAAGCTAGGCAGTTGTACCAAGAAGAAAATGGCCCACGCCAGCCAAATATCCTGGTGGGACACAAGCAGTCAGCTCTGAGACAGAGGACAGGCCATCTCCATAGCAGGAAGTTCTTAAAAAGTAATTATATCAGTAAACACATGAATAAGTTGCAGTTAACAAGAACACTGAGAATTAGATTGAACTGAAGTGGCTTCTGACCATGTTTTCTTTCAGTATAGACATATGGAAGTAGGTAAAAAACTCCAACCCTACCCAAGGAACTATTGGAAGCTGCTGGCTGCTGGCTGGGGGAGAGTCAGTCTTTTTTTAAGGATGTGACTCTTGGTAGGTTAACCAGGCTCCAGTGGATGGATCCATGCTGAAAGACATTTGGGGACACAAATAAGACTATGTAAAACAGTATGTGAAATTGGAGGAGAGCTAGTAAGGGAGGTGCAGATAGGGGAGGGGATCTAAATACAATCAAAATATATTGTATGAAAGCTGCAGAAATTCAATTAAAAAATGGAAAGAAAAAAGGCTAGCACTCCAAGGTGTGCGTTTCAAAGTTTTCTTTGTTTCAAGTAATGAATCAAATAATATGAGAAATGTTGAAAGTAAAATAGACCTGGCATCTAAATTTTTATTGAATATAATTGATACATTCAGTGATATCTGATTTAAACGTATAATACTTTCATTTCTTGACTGTTAAAACATTTTTCTGTCAATGTGTTATCAAAAATGTTCAAGGCCACACTATACAGTGGCATAATGATGGAAAATAAATACAATAAATGAAAATGTGAAAAAAATTTAAATTTATGTTGAGACAGGGTCTTCCTATAGCTCCAGCTAGCCTGGAACTTGGTATGTAGACCAGACTGGCCTCAATCTCTGTCTCCTGAGTACTAGATTAAAGAAATGTTCTACCACGCCCTTCCTTTTTATTAATTTCTTGAAAATATCATACATATATACAATGTACTTAGATCTATTCATCCTCAACTCTCCCAGATCCACTCCTCTATTCCCTACCCTCCCAACTTTATATGCTCTTTTTTTTTTTTTAATACCCTGCTGACTTGGTTTTGTGTTGCCCATATACTCGTGTGTGGGGTCATCCAGTGGAGCATGATTGACTTACCAGAGGTCACACCCTTCAAGAAAATTGACTCTTTCTCCCTCAGTAGCCAACAACTGCCAATGACTCCTCAGCTAGGGGTGGAGGCTAGTGAGTCCTTCCTCCTTCCACATTGGAATGTTGACTGGTTTGTTCTTGTTGTTTTTGAGACAGGGTCTCTGTGTAGCCCTGGCTGGCCTATAATTTGCTATAGAGACCAGACTGGCCTCAAATCCACAGAGATGTGACTGCCCCTGCCTCCTGAGTGCTGGGATTTAAGGTGAGTGTCACCATACCCGGCTGGCTTGATCTTCTGCAGGTCTTGTGCAGGCAACCATAACTTCTGTGAGTTTATGAATACAGTGATCACATCATGTCCAGAAGACACTGTTTCACCCTGTCCTTGCCAGTCTCTGGCTCTTAGAGTCTCTGTGTTCTTTCTTTCATGATGGTCTCTGAGCCTTGGGGAGAGGTGCGGTATAGACGTCCCATTTGTGGCTGAGCACTCCACAGACACTCTCTGTGCTTTGACCATTTGGCGAGTTTCTGTGTTAACCATCATCCACTGCACAGAGAAACTTCTCTAATGAGATCTGAGAGCTGCACTCCTCTGTGGATGTAGAGATTCCAATTTAGAGAGCAGTTTGATACTGTGTCTATTAGCAAAATAATAGTACTAGTTCACCCCTGGGTCCTTGGCCAGATTTATAGTTCCAGGCATATGTTTCCTCCTATACACCCACATCTAACAGCTGTCTGTAACTCCAGTTCCAGAGGATATGACCCTCTTCTCACCCCCATGGGCATTGCCTGACATGGATGCATTTGCTTACATGTAGGAAAACACTCATACATATACAATTTAAAATTTTTAACTATTAAGTAATGTGACTTTTACCTTAGTAAATTATTTGAAAGGCAAGACCATTGCTCAGTAGGTACAGTAAGTATTGTCCTGTTCTCCACCATGACACTCTCATGAATGCTGG